GTTTCCAGGACGTTCTAGACGTTCTTATAAGGTTTTCTAAACGTTCTCAAAACGTTTCCAGGATGTCCTGGACGTTCTTAAAAGGTTTTCTGAACGTTTTCAAAACGTTTCCAGTACATTCTACACGTTCTTAAAAGGTTCTCTTGGACATTCAAGACGTTCTTTAAACGTCCTGGAAACGTTCTAGACGTTCCTAAAAGGTTTTCCGGACGTTTTTAAGGTTCTTAAAACGTTCTTAAAACGTCCCAAACGTCCGACAGGTTTTCTGCAGGTCCTTGCACTTAAAAGCAAATCTATAAAAGGTTTTTTATTGGTTCTAAAAACGTTTAGAAAACGTTCAAAAAACGTCCATTTGGAACGTTCCAAAAAACGTTTTCAACCTACCACAAATAGACGTCTTTAGAACGTTTTCACAAAACGTTTAGGAAACCAATTTGGAACCTTTTTAGAACGTTCAGAAAACGTCCAATTGTTACTTGGGTTGCTGGCACTGGCAGCTGGCAGGGGGAATTGGGCAGGGGACGTAGCCTTCGATGCCCTCCTCTTCCTTGGCTTGGCCTTTGCTGTTGTCTTCGTCGCAGCCTTTGATGTCACCCTCTGATTTGTCTTCTTCGTCGATTTAGGCATCTTAGAAATTGTTTTGTATCAAAATGAAGCCTAACTAACACGCTTGTAAACCTCGACGTATTGTTTAACTCAAATGAGGCAACGTGAAAAATAGGTAAGAATGTCAATCAGGAGCTGAAACTTATTAAAGTCAGAAGCACAGTAGTTCAACTATATTCGACGATATTACGTAAAAACTTGAACTGACTGCTAACGTGGGCGAATATTGAGCAAAAAACCACGAAGGAAGAGTAAAAATTTGTTAAGTGTGACAACTTCGAAATACCATGGACTGAATGAGGTATTATCGTCCAAATTGGGGAGAGGAAAGAGGAGGAAAGTTGAGAGCTGACCGCATGTTTACATTACGGCGACTGGTTTCTTCCCCGCCCAAGGTTTATTGCGTCATCGGATTACATTCATAGCCTCCTCTCCCCCATAAATAAACTTTGTACCAGGTAGCTGTCAATAAACTATTTTAACTTCCTCTGCGCTGGTTAAAATTAAATAAATTTCGCGATTACTCTACTATACATTGTATTTCATCATATAGCATGATAGATATAAAAAAAAAACGATTAAGATTTAGAAAAAAAGATTTCCTATATGTATATCGTAGGCCTATATCTGTTCATTTTAATTGAATTATTACTTTTCCATAATTCATTTACCATACGTGTAATAATTAATAGATGTAATTTTGTGCTAAATATAATATTAACATCCACCACCACAAGGAAGAGTAGGCCTATATGAATATCATAGCTTTAAAATGTTATTATTCAGCCTTCAGAATTGTTTCTGACATAAAAAGACACAAGTGATAACATTGTTTTCATGCATGGGAATCGTAATGCTTACACCAAGTACAGTATAAAATTAATAGCAAAAATAAATTAAACCTTCCACAAAAAGAAAAAAAGAGACTCGGTAGAAATTTCAATATATTTTATCCTATTACAATCAAATCTAATCCGACCCATGTACATTTTTATTAAATTATTTAAAGAAGTAAAATAAGTGGGAAAAAATAGAATTTAGAAAGTTGATAATGCATTTTAGAGCGCTAAAAGCTCATTTATACTGCATAATTACGACATGGATTTTGTCTTGCGCTAACCGGGCGGGGCAAAACGAGTTTACAACCTTTTTCAGTATGTTGCAATGATTATGGGCAATTTATGGCCTGAGTAGTCATTCGTTTACGGTAAACCACGCGATTTTCAATGTCAATCATTTTAAGTAAAAAAAGCTTTGCACTTGTAATTTTGGCATGAAATCTCATTATTTGATAAATTATCGCATCGGATTCTGTGTGCATGCGTATCATGAATATTTATGACTAGCGCATGACGTATGGTTCCTATTGAGCCAATCAAATGCAGCGATAGAACGGCAAGGTTAGGTTAAAAAAAAGACGCGTCCTGCTCCTATAGAAGGAAACACCTGTCCCTCGCTTTTAGCGCCTGCGGGAGACAGGGGCTTCTATGTTTTCATATAAGTATATACCGGTACTGCTTCTTGTGCAAGTATATGTAAGGGAGCGTAGCGACCAATTAAGTTGAAAATTTAGGGTATGGAAAGGTAAAACCCAACTTGCATGCTGATATCTTTACTGTAGGGGCAAATGGTATTTGTCCATTCCCCGCCATTTGATAGACGGAAGCATTTGTCGCTTGCTTCTAGACAGGGTTTGTACAGCGTTAAGAAACACTGCGTCTAAACATTGGAAGGCGCGTAGCGACCGAGCGGGAAAACATTAAATTTGAAATGCTGAAAATTGCACTTTTAGAGCACTAGAAAGCTCGCAACTATCCCTTTGATAAATAATATTATAATTTAATATTGATAATTTATGTTATTTTTAAATTAGATAAAGAGCGCAATGAAAGCCTTATATATATTAGTGTCATATAAAGTTCATATAGTCCATAGTTTATTTTATTTCTTCTTTCACAAACATTTGTACATAGGATTTCAAAAAAAAAAGTAACACGAACAGCAGTTTACCAACATAACAAACATAATTTAAAGAGCAATATTATTATTCGACATACAACTCTTGTCATTAACTAAAGAGATTCTGTAAAAAATTACTTATGTAAGATCATGTTCTGTACATGAAAAAAAGAGGAAACCTTAGAGAAGCTGGGCTTGTTAGAGCAAGGTCCCCAAACAGAATATATTACCTGAATGCTTTAATTACTTTGATGAAAAACAAATTAAAAACAAAACTAGCTTGTAAGAATAAAAACAATTACACATAGAAAATATATTTACAAAAGAGATAGATTGATGTACAGTATATATAAAGAGGAGAAAATGGGAAGATATAAATAAAAGGATGGAGAGAGAAAGCGCAAAACGGAACAAAAAAACAACAGAGAAAACCTGAGAAGGAAGAAAGTTATATGTAGGAGAAATGGTGATGGGGACGAAATAGAAGAGAGAGAGAGAGAAAAAAAAAGAAAAGAAAATTACATTAGAGCAAAACAGAACAAAGCGAGATTGCTAATAAGATATAAAGAAATGTTGGTAAGGTAAGGGCCAGCCTGGAAAAGAGGGGAAGGGGTAAACAATAAAGCAAGAAAAATAAATTACATACTATTTCATATGTGATGACATAGTTTTTATATTAAATATTTTCAGCATAATTACTCAATATATGTAATTTCAGTTTGCGTTTAAAAACAGAGACACTGACAGAACGAATTCCATCAATAGGAAGTGAGTTCCAAAACTCGGGACCAGTACAAGCTGATGTATTCAAAGCAAAGGCAGTTCTTACACGCGGTATATGAAGTGCAGTTCCCTGTCTCGTATTATAACGGTGAATTTGACTGTCCTTTCTAAATAACTGTATTAACGCATTTTCAAAATCATACATGAGTGAGTCTGACTGTAAGAGATAAATAACTTCTACCTCTAATAGTTATTACTATGAAACAAAAAATTAGTATGAGCATGATAATTTACATTAAAGACAATTCACCCTTTTCTGAGTGACAAGTATCTTATTTAGTTGAGTTTTTAGTGACTTCCCCCAAAAAGTACGCCTCCAGGTAAATCTGTTAAGGAATTACTAAAAAGGCATATAGTTTGTCTTTCAAAGGTTCAAAGACAACTTATTTGCACGGATCCACAAAGTAACTTACTTTAATTCACTATTAACTGTTTCTAATAAAATTTCACGATTTTTATGAGAAAAAATACACTTGAATCATTTGCAAAAAATAAATGATAGGACGTCAGATGAAAAAATGAAAATCATTAATATATAACAAATTTTAAAGGAGAAGAAGGGATCCCTGAGGCACTCCACAGGATATAATATGATGACTTGAGTTAATTCCATCTAATGATACATATTGTTTCCTGTCAGTTAAATAACTCCAGAACCAACTAAGAGCGATGCCTCTGACTCCATAATATGACAATGTACTGATTAGAATGTCATGATCAACAGTATCAAACGCCTTTGAGAAATCCAAGAGTATACCTATTGTGTGAAGGTGATTATCTAAACGCTTGAGCTACTTTATAGATAAAATGTAAGATAGCATGCGTTGTGGTGTGTTTTTCACGAAAACCAAACAGGAGTTTTGAAAATGTTTTGGTCGTATTAAAAAATGTTACTGTTTTATCATATATAAGCTTCTCTAAACAATTTGAAAAAGATGTCAATAATAAAATGAGTCTATAATTACATAACCTTTGAGGATCTCCCTTTTTAAAAATTGACACTACCTTTTCAAAATACATGCCTACACCGCCATGTCTTTTGAGAATGCAGTTGTTGGAAATAGAAGCATGATTATTAATATTTAAAAATACACTATCGTTCTCTTTTAACCAAGTTTCTGTTAATCCTATAACGAAAAATTTAGAGTCGATACAATTTCAAAACATACTCATACTATCAACATTTTTCTTACGGCTTCTTCAATTAGAATTTACTACGGCCAATTGCTCATTGTCATTACAAGTGTCCTTATTGATTTCATTAGGAGTCACATACGGGGAATCAAATGGTAATCTATCTAATGTGGTATCCATAATTATAGAAATACTGGAATGCCAAAACTGCTGAAATATGTGTTATATCATCATTCATGTACATGCAATTCTGTGCAAGAAGAAGAATAGAAAAGTGAAGGAACAAAGTTAAAATGTTCACAATACAATGTACAACAATAACTACCAAAACAAAGCAATACACGATTGTTAAAATCAAAAATTAACACAATTATTTAAAAAGTTCAGGGTTTTCACAACTACGCAATTAAAAGTCTTCGAGTTGAAATAATATTAAAATGGCGTGCAGCTAGGAGCACAAAATTATTGTTTTCTAGCAACACAGTGTCTAGTAACAAAAAAGTTCATACCGTGGATAATCTTCTCAGATCATCCATGTTCTTAATCACACGCTTCATCGGGGAACCATCATGCTTTATCAACGCGATGATGCAGCCGTCAGATGTCCAGGCGCTTTTCACTTCATCACACTCTTTTGTGTCCTTATTTTCGTTGACCAGCGAGTTGTTGATTATTTTCTGGGTTAGACAATAATGCATGCGCACCATGTATTTCTTGATCTAAAATTATATTTTCGCATTTGTTTCTGTTTATTTAAAGGCCTAAAAGGGGAAGGAATTACATTGAGATACTCGGCCTCCGTAGATACAAATGAAATGTAGTCCTCATCACCGACTACCAAAACGCTTCTTCGAAGGTGGTGAACCGCCCAGCCATCTTAGACTTTGTTTGCCAATGTCCTTATTAGTTTCCTGCAATGAACAATATTTATGAATAGAAAATTATTAAAGTGAACCGGTAACATTGTCGTAATTTTTGAATGAAATGTTACTTATTATATTCCTTCTACTGTACTAACCCCCTAACATGCAAAAAATCCTGAAAAATTCTCAAACCACAAAGATGTTTATTATTTTTCTATGAAGATGCCAATGTGTAACCCCTCTAAAAGTAAATTCTCCCAACCATTTTTGAATTTTCCGAACCGTTTTTCCATGAAAAAAGACATAAAAGAGGCTTTTACAAATATTTCAACACTTAAATGTTCGGAATGGTATATGAAGCCAATTCATTGCTGCGTGACGATTTACATTCACCTAACATGTAATCAAATTACAATAGTATAGTTCGGAGAATTAAGGAGTCGATCTGATGAGTGTTTCCCAATTTGTATCATTAAGTATTGATCTGTTTTCACTTAAAATTTCAGAAAATAAAATTTTATCTTAAATTGTACATTTAACATTGATGTCACTACCTTAAGCTATGGTCACAAATCAGAGCAGCGACCGACCGATTAGTAGCCTGCTCGGTCGCCGCTGGAATTAAGGCATCGCCCAACGATATTTTGGAGAAGTCGAGCAGGCTGTAGAGCCCCAGCGATGCCTGGGCGGAGCCCTGTCGATTTCCCGTCGGTCGCCGGTCAATTTTAGGTCAAAACTGGGCGAATTCGGAGAGCTTCTCCGGGCGGCGTCCCGGCAGTGACCGACCGATGACCCACCGATACCCGAGCGGTCTCCCACCGGCCACCGGCTAGTTTTAAGGAAATTGCCCGGTAGCCGGCCGGTGATCGGCGGGGCGCCAAAATACGCTCGGTGCCCGGGCGTTCGCCGCCCGGACATTGACCTAATCGAGCGTTCGCCGTCGGGCGATTTAGGTCAAAAATCAAAGCCGCTAGGTCAAATGTTGCTGACCGATGTTGAACTCGCCGCCCAGTGACCTACTGATCTCCTAGCGGCGACCGGCCGGCGACCGGGCGGCGAACGCTCAACAGCCTTTGGCCTAGCGGCTTCGATTTTTGATCATAATCGCTCGACGGCGAACGCTCGAGCTTACTCTGGGCGGCGAGTGAATTTTAACTCTGCGCTAAAACTTCAGCAGTGACCGAGCGATGCCCTAAAAACATGCGGTGCCCGGGCGGCCGCCGCTCGGTGCCTGGGCGAAATTGGCTAAAAACTCGCCGCCCGGCCGCCGAGCAGGCTACTTTTAGGTGATGTGACCATAGCTTTCGCACTATTTTCTCTCATCTGAACAATGTTACCAAGTCCCTTTAATGTGTGGCTGATATGAAGTTTGTCATGGAAATATATGACTATTTATGATAATAATGTTAATGAAAACAACAATACTAATGGTTATAAAAGTTTTTAAGATATGGTTATTATAATCATATTGGTTATTACTTTTGGGTCTACATTGACACTTTGGAAGAAAGCACAGTTAACAACCCTTGTTGAACTGTTCGAAATTCTGCAGCGTCGACGTCCTCCTGATCTCACTCTACCTGAACTGAGGAACAAAGCGACACCTCCTGTTCAAATTCCTGCAAAACACAAATGTAAAAACAAAATGGCAAGGCAAATATTGCTTTGCGAATTAAAAAAAAGAAAGAAGAGTATTTAAAGATAAAGTTGAGTTTTGGTCATGCGATTGCATTGTGAAAGAAACAGTGGGGAATCGATCAAAAAAGTTGATCATGTAGCGTAGAAACATGGTGTGTGCCGCAAGGTTCGGGAGCCATCAAATTGATAAGAAATTTGGCCCAGTCTAAGTAACAAGCACTGTACACAGAAAGATATACATCTGGCCTCATTTTTAAGCTGTTACTTGTCATATTTAGAATATGAATGCATTTGAAGAGCCATCCTTTTCAGGGGACGTTTTCTCTCTCATGTTCTTCCAAACTTGCATAATAACAACTATAACGCTCACAAATTATGTTTCACCTTTCCCCAGAGCTCAACCTTCCTTTTAAATCCTATCACGTACACAATTTGTTTGACATTGACATTTTTTAATTTCGGCGAATTGCATGTCACGAAAAGTGGAAAGTTATTTTTTGTTATCGGCAATTATTCGTTTTCTAAAATCAATTTGTTCTGTTAATCTCAATTCGATACAAACTAAAGTTCATTGGAGGAAAATGTATTAAGATAATCCTTTGAACACATACCGTAACTAGGACGTAACCTTTACTCAATTTACATTTTCTATTGGTATAAGAGATATACTCTCGATGGTATGTTCATTGTTTTTTTGCTCACCTAACGATTGCATATATTCAATGATAATAAAATCAAATGAAAACTGCATACACTGTTTCCAAGAAGTAATTCATACAATATTACACCAAAGTAAATTTTAAAAAAAATACCTGGGGTATGGAAGTATTTGGTTAATGTCAGCGTGCGGGATGGTCTCCTGCTTGATAAGGCATCTTGAATTCCTTGGACGTTTTTTACGAGGGGATGACGATGTTGATGTCCACGTCTTCTGTCACTGGAACACCAGCCCGCCTTCCTACTGTTGACAAGTCTCGGCTGTCGTACGGCCACAAGGTGCATGATGATGAGCTAACAGGAAAATCTGGTGCCCTATATATTATCTTTACGATAATAGCGTTTAGTATATAGTATACGAAGGCGCATGCACGGAGTTCGCTGAATTTAGCGAACTCCTTGCGCGCGCGCCTTTTTAACACTAATTGCTATTATCGTAAGTAAGTATTTCAATCAGAAATTCGCAAAAAACAGTTTACTACGTGTATACCGCGTGTCTTTGCATTTCAGAAGGAACTTACATCGCAAAATTAGGGACTTTTAGATTTGCGTGGACTGATACGTGTGACGTCCATTCACGGCAGTGCATTAACAGGACGTCGATCGTAGCATAGACCTATTGTCTTCGTGCGAATCTAAAAGTCCCTAATATCTTGAGAGGTCAGCGTATTTGTCTTGTAAATCGCATCTTTACTAATTATCATCAGGGACACGTGGAAGGTAAGCAAATCGAAACCACTCCTGTAGCTTAATTTCATATTTTTTTTTGTTTTTTTGACAGATTTCAAAGTTCTTTTTATGAGAGGAAAGACAAATTCATTAGCGAACTCCGAAGCAATTGTGCAATGTTCGACGGGTTTTGCTTACTTACCTCTTCACGCAGGAGTATGGGTGCCAATTGATTAATGCTAGGTGATATCAATATCATATTTTACATGACCTAGCCCTCAAGGCTATACCAACCCACACAGTGCTCACTGAACTGTGTCTATAACAGTCACGGACAGAAGTGAATAGGCTTTGTGAATTTTCTTCTATTCACAACTATCTGCACACAATGGATGATGTCGGAGGAGTCGCAATCACCAGACGAACGGCAGCTGTGACACGTCAGGTCATCAATGACTTATTAAAGAATGAAGAGTTTGTCACCTAGCCTACATGGATAAGATAGTCAGCAATGCAGTAAAGGAAAACATGGGGGAATTGCTGAGTAGCTAGGTTAGATGTTATTCAAGGTGATGTATTTGATCTGCAGATGAAATTAGAAAGCAAAGATAATGACATTTCTGAACAAGACAGTAGAAAACCTCAGCAAGGAAGTCCGTAACACCAACTATGGCATGAAACAGAGTTCACAAAGGACGTGTATTCGCATATTCGGTGTTGAGAAGAAGCCGGGTGAAGACACCGACGCAATAGCAGCAGAGACCATCTGTGAGCAGGTTGGTGTTACTCTGGAACTGAGAGACATCGACCGCTCCCATCGCACAGGGAAGGTGAAACCATCAGTAGCAACTCCCAGAAAACCTCCCGGACATCGCTCTATCATCGTGAAATTGAATTCCTATAAAAAGAGAAGGCATACTCTAGCAAAACGAAAAAACTAAACGGATCAGTAATATCAATTGTGGAGGATTTGACAATGAAGAGCCAGACACTTCTCGCGAAAACCCACAGCACACCAACAGTATCGTCAGCATGGACTTTAGATGGCAGGGTCATCGCTTATCTATCTGCCAGTGACGGAATATGTGAAGAGGTGAATTAGAAGCGAAGATGACTTTCGGTAAACGTCACAGTCGTGTGAGTCCGAGTTCTTTGGATTACACCTGAAAATGAAGCCTTATTCACATATAAGATAAATGGAAAGGATGAATGGAAAGAAAAGTAAACAACCACCGATCAGACAAGAATAGCTTGCATGAATAAAGGCTTATTTAATATAATTATCTATGTGAATTAGGAGGATCGTAGTCCTTGTGAAAATATGTAGTTGGTTTCCTTTTAGTGACCGAAGATTATCGACTAAGATTTTTTGTGTGTGTACAATACTCTTAGACGAAAAGACATTGAAATGTGTAAGTAGTACCAGTAAACCTTAAAAAGACCTTACTCGTTTCACCGCACAAAGCTCCTGTATACCCCGAAGCACATGTACATGCATCCAACTCACAGGTACCTCCGTTTAGACACGGGTTGCTGCCGGAACAGTCAACTACAGAGAGGAAGAAACAAAATACAATTTAAGAATGATATATTAAACATTACATTACAAACTAGGTAGGCTTCACCCACATTCATATCACTGTTTTTTGTGGTTGTTGTTTGGGGGGGCTGTAAGTTATTTGGATGTTCAGATGGCCCACTAAATTGGAGCCACCCCCCCCCCCCCTCCATTCATCACAGCATCACAAATTTATCATCATGATCACGACAGGAGATTATGAGAACACTCACTATCTTTTAGTAAGGGACATAATATCCTAATTTCGAAGACAACATATGATATATAGTCTGTACCATTGAATGAACACATTATAACATATTTTAATACCTCTGTCACACACAGATCCAGTAAATTCCGCAGCACATGTACATGCATCGTTTTCACAGACACCTCCGTTCAGACATGGAGCCCTAAAATAACAGTCATCTACAAAGTGGAGAAAACAAATCATACCAAACGAAAATGGCATATTCAGATGAATTCTTTTGTTCGTATTGAGATTTGTATTATCAAAGATACTGTGTCCCTTTTGCAGCCAACATCAAATTCTGTAGAACTTTGCAGGAATAATGAATATGTCATGTATGTCCGATCTGTGAAATTTAAACATTAGCAGTGTCCTAGTGTTCAAATTATTGAAGGAAACCCGTTTACCTTCTACACTTCACTGGCAGACACTATTGAGTAACTGACCGACATTTTTTCTTTCCGTTGGTAATAACATACATAAAATGGACTGTAACAGGTACATGAGCATATTGTCTACATCAATAAACCACTACTTGTAATGGCAAAATTAAACTGAATGAATCTTAGTGCAGCACAAAACATACGACCATTCGGTAAAGGGGTCTGAAAATAAGATTATTACTTAGGCGTTGTGGCGTGCGCCTGTAATCCAGCTAACAGTGGAAGTTACAAACTGATTCAGCCGAGAACGCAGGTTCGAAGCCGAGTCACGTCTTTCGGATGGTGACGTTTATGGCCAAAAAAAAAAACATGTTTAGCGTCCTGCTTTTTTGAAAAAATAGGAAGGAGGAGGCCCTTTTTCTTCTTCTTCAAAATGGCCGCTCGGTACATTTTCCCTGACAGTCGGACTATTTTTCAAGATGGCCGCCCACATTAAAAAAAAAAAAAAAAAAAAATCAGAAATAGATCCATTTTAGCAGTGTTTTTCATGTTTGTTTTTTCTTTTTTTTTAAAAAATAGAGGGCGCCCCCCCCCCCAAAGGAAGCAGGCGGGGACGCTAAACATGTATATTTTTTTAATGGCCTGAAGGTCGGTCCCCAGACCTAAATAATCATATCTGATAGATAAACGTCTGTAAAAGCCCAATACACACACACACACACAGTCGTTTCGACAACTAATGGTCCTTACTTTCCCACTAAAACTTAAAAGTCATTTTCAAGCCCTTTCGTTTTGAGGGAAGTTCTAAATTAGTATTGTCTTTCAAAATTGCCGTTGGAATTAACCTTTTCATGTGTTTGGCCTACGAATGGGACATATTAATATTTTTATTAAGTATCAATTATGTCGTATACATTAATGTATGTTCTTTGTTAATTGGATTATCGGATATTTTCTATCGTAAATATATATGATTGTACATTATATTCCCAAACAATGATAACTTTCATTGCAAGGAAGATAAAATTTCGGGTAAAGATTTTCATAGTATTAATGTAAATTAGGACGCTGGTCAAACGTTAACTTAATGATCTGTGTACATTTGTAAGATCCCAGCCAAAAGGTGTTTCGTTGCTCGATTCCCGCCTTGTGACAATATCCACTTAGTTTTCTTAAGTGAGCAAAAATTATTGATTTGTTTCCCCTTCAAATTTGCATTAATCTAATACGAATAGAAGAAAATTCTAAGCAGTCAAATAAAAGCTAAAAAGATCTTACACACGTCACCGCACAAAGCTCCTGTATACCCCGTTGCACATATACATGCATTGTCCTCACAGGTACCTCCGTTCAGACATGGGTCGATGCCCGAACAGTCAACTGCAGAGAGGAGAGAAAATATCCTAAAATTCATGACAAATCCTAACTTTTACCGATCACATGGAAATGCATGAATGACGAGAATAAAATTAAACGTTTAGTAAACACATATTTAGAATGATATACTAAACATTTCAAAAGATTAGAATGTAGGTAGGCTTTCCCTATTCTTCACACCACCCTATTTTCGGGGGGGGGGGGTAATGGTTTAAGATTAGAATGTTGATTTAGAAATGTATAAAAAGGTTAATCGCGCGATATTGGTGTATCATGGCTTAAATCATTGTTATCATTAAGTGTCAATTACTTTTCTTTAGCAAAAATATTATACTTGACGTACACAATGAATCGCGATGTTACAATACATTGTCATACCTCTACTACACGACTTTCCACTAAATCCCACAACATTATAATCACGAAAGGAGATTATGACAACATTTCGTTTCTTTTAGTAAGTGACATCAATATCCTACTTTGGGGGACACAATATAGTATATCTAACACTCAACCATTGAATGTACACATTGTAACATGTGTTTATACCTCGGTCACACACAGATCCGGTAAATCCCGCAGCACATGCACATTCGTAGAATTCACAGGTACCTCCGTTCCGACAGGGGTCGCTAATAGAACAGACAACTACAAAGTGGAGAAAATATCATACCCAAAAAACTTGCATATTTAGAAGGACTATTGATTTTGTGAAATAAATGTTTCTGTATAGTCAAGCAGGGTAAAACAAAATTATATTAAGTAACGAAGATTGGGACTTGTATTTTGAAATTTTAAAACTACAGAGGCGTATATAAGGCCTGCTTTATCTCGTTTTTAAGCGGTGGCAGGAGTGATGGGAAAATTATTGTTTATTGAAACATTAAACAAAATATGTGACAAGAGATGACCCTGAACATTTGTAGGTAAGACTAATTGTATCTCATACGAAGGCACTATTATTATTGTAACCACATTTCACATCATATTGAGATGATGTCATTTGTTAGCGTATCAATTATGTAATATACGTATACATTAATGTGTGTAGTTAGTAAATAGGATTATCGCACATTTTCTATCGTAAATCGATTTTTATATATTCCAAAACAATGATATAACTTTCAATGGAAGGAAGAAAGGCTCCGGTAAAGACTTTCAGAGTACTAAATGTAAAGTAAGTTTTGGGAGATTTCCACTGAAAAGGGTCAGACATTTCCAAGAATAGCTTGCAGGTGTATTTATCCTTATTATCTGTGTACATTGGTGAGATCACAGACACAGACAATTTGTTTTTATTTGCAATACTCCAACCAAACAAATAGACATTTCAAAAGTGGTCAATGTAATTTTAAACAAAAGCGATAAAAACCTGAAAAAGATCTTACTGGCCTCTTCGCACACAGATCCACTAAAACCTGATGCACATGAACATGCAGCGTTCTCACATACACCTCTGTTATAACATGGGTTGTTGCCAGTACAGTCAACTACAAAGAGGAGAGAAAATATTATAAATTTAATGACGATTCTTTTTTTCTCTTTTTTTTTGCATTTACTGTATACACGTGGAAATGCAAAATGCAAGAATGATAAAAGTACAATATTTGATTATTGTCATATCAGCCAATCATGGTAGTGTACATACAATCAATATGATAGCTAAAACTTTGGAAATTAAGAACGATGTATTTAAAATGATCAAAGTAGAAAGTAGGTCTCTTTTCGGGGAGGGAGTGTACGTTAGGATGACTATCTCAAATATATGAAGAGGTTAAAGTTACAATATGAACGTATTATAGTTTAAACCTAATTTATCATTTAATAATTAAACATTAATATTCTTTGAAGCTAAATACAATTTTATTAGTACACTTTTACTGAAATTGCTTGAGTGTGTTTGAGGTGATACCATATTCTTTTATTAATAAGCTAAAGACATAACTGAGGATCTATCCTAGTCATTGAATAATGTTCATCTTCTGTTTTAGTCTTCCATGTTTGTCATTGAATAATGTTCATCTTCTGTTTTAGTCTTCCATGTTTGTAATTCATTTATATATTCTTGTGTAAAACTTGTCTGGAATGGATTACATTAGTGAAGGTGTACTTAACCTAATTATCTATGTGCATTATTGAGATCACAGTCATAGACAATATGTTTTTATTTGCAATACTCCAATACGTATAGACATTTCAAAAGTGGTCACTGTAATTTCAAACAAAGTGATAAAATCCTAATACATCTCACTTGCGTCACTGCACAGAGATCCACGAAAGCCCGATGCACATGTACATGCCGCGTTCTCACAGACACCTCCGTTCAGACATGGGTTGCCGCCAGAAGCTGAACAGTCAACTACAGAGAGGAAAGAAATATCCTTCAATTAATAACGATTTTTTTTTACATCCATCGTTTAGATGGAAATCCATGAATGACGAGAATAAACTCATATTACCCAGTGCACACATAATATAATATCTAAAAGCTTGGGATTTAATGATCACTTTCGCCCTCGGGGTTCTTCTCAAGTATAACAGATTGGGATGTCCAGATATAGACCACTAAATTGGTGCCCCCCCTTCCCCCTCTGCACTCATGTTCTCATTAAAAATGTATACCGTGTATTCAGTCTTTCTTTCTGTGATAAAGTGTCTTCCTTCCAAGTATTACTTTTATTTTTAAAGGGGACTACAAGTTTATACGGCGACCTAATGCTTTTTTCGAACATTATAATTACGACAGGAGATTATGAGAACATTCAGTATAAGTGACATAAATATCCTACTTTGGGGGACAAAACATGATATATCTAACCCTGTACCATTGAATGTACACAATATAACATATGTTTATACCTCTTTCACACGTAGATCCAGTAAATCCCGAAGTACATGTACATGCACCGGTCCCACAGGTACCTCCGTTCAGACATGGGTCGCTAACAGAACAGAAAACTACAAAGTGGAGAAAGAATCATACCAAACGAAACGTGCACATTTAGAATATCTATTTTTGAACTGATTATTTTATATTAAAAATACAAGATTTGAATTTTTATTATGATATTATCAATCTGCAGAGGTGTACCCATGACCTGCTTTAACTCGTTTTCAAGCGGGGGCAGGAGTGATGAGCATGGGACCGGTTATCAAACCCTTAAAGGCCCACTGCACTACTTGTAGCTACTTGCGCCCTCTATATAACAAACAATGCCTAATCGGTGACCATTGGTCCCCCATGATGCTCTTTTTCTTATGTTAACTGATAGCTGAGTTGATGAGATAACCACCTGTCCAGTGACCTTGCAGGGCGGTCTAATCCCTCCTGTAAACTATGGCAGATAAGCTTTAAACAGAATAAGTGTCAAAAGATGACTTTCAATATTGTAGGTATCATATAATTAGACTTATTACATGATATGCAAAGGCATTATTATTGCTATCACATTTCACACCACATTGATATAATGTCATTTCTACAAAGTCAACTACAAAGAGGAAGAAGAAATACTCTTTTGAATGACTACAATAATCAATGTTTACAATAATACCGGGCAGTGACATGATTTAAGAATAATATATTAAACATTTTCAATTTACTAAGTAGATATGCTTCACCTATATTCATATCACTGCTATTTCGGGGGGGGGGGGGTTGTAAGTTAGCATGTTGATTCGAAATATTATAGAGGTTAAAGTCACGACATAAACGTACGTATGTTACATACAATATATTTCCGTACCTCTACTACACAAAGCTCCATTAAATCCCGAATAACACAAGCATGCATTGTTCTCACAGACACCTCCGTTCAGACATGGGTTGACACCTGAACAGTCAACTACAAAGAGGAAAGATAATATCCTAGAAATTAATGACGAATTATTACATTCGTCGTTAAACTTTTGAGGGAAATCAATGAATGACGAGAATAAACTCGTATTAGCCAATGTACACACAATCTATATATAGCTTTGGATTTAATAATCCTTTTTGCCCTCGGGTCTCTTTCCCAGTATAACTGATTGGGATGTCCAGATCGATAGACCACTAACTTGGTGCCCCCCCCCCCCTTTACTCATAACCGCATCAAAATCATATACCGTGTATTTCGACTTTCTTTCTGTGATAGTATCTTCCTGCCGTATATTACTTTTATTTGTTAAGTAGTATTACAAGTTTACGACTACCTAATGCTTTTTACAAAATTATAAACACGACAGGAAATTATGAGAACATTCCGTATCTTTTAGTAAGTGACATAAATATCCTACATGTACTTTGGGAGACAAAATATGATATATCTAACCCCATTGAACGTACACATTGTAACATATCTTTATACCTCGGTCACACAGAAATCCAGTAAATCCCGAAGTACATGTACATGCATTGCTCTCACAGGTACCTCCGTTCAGACATGGGTTGCTAACAGAACATTCAACTACAAAGTAAAGAAAAAAATCATACCAAATGAATGCTGCACATTTAGAATATCTATTTTTGAAATGACTGTTTGTGTAAATAGTCAAGCAGGGTAGAAAAAGCCTTATATTAAGAAGGAAAAAAATTGGAATTTGTATTGTGAACTTATCAAACTACAGAGGCGTATCTAAGACCTGCTTTACCTCGTTTTTAAGCGGGGCAGGAGTGATGGGAAAAGGATCGTTTATTGAAACATTAAACAGGATATGTGAAAAGAGATGACTTTGAAAATGTGTAGTTATCATATAATAAGACTAATTGTATCTCATACAAAGGCACTATTATTATTGTAACCATATTTCACATCATATTAAGATAGTGTCATTTGTTTGTATTGAGGTTTCTGATTAGTACGTATCAATCATGTCATATATCTGAATGTATGTAATTGGTTAAAAGGATTAGGGCATATTATCTATCATAAATCGATTTTATATTTGCCAAAACAATGATATAACTTTCATTGGAAGGAAGAAAGGCGCCGGTAAAGACTTTCAGAGAACTAATGTAACGTAAATTTCTAGGATAACCCCTGAAAAGGAAGCCCTTTGCACATCTGGTGAAGGGAAAGGATGAATGGGAAGAAGAGTAAACAACCACCGGTCAGACATTTCCAGAAATAGTTTGCATGAATAAAGGTTTATTTAACCTAATTTATCTGCTGAATTAGTAAGATCCCAGCCCTAAGGTGTTGCTCGTTTCCCGCCTAGTGACATTATGCACTTAGTTTTCTGTAAATTATTGATTTGCTATTGGTTTGCAATACTCTAATACAGAGAGACATTACAAATTGTAAGCAGTACCAGTGAAAGCTTAACAAAGCTTACATATTTCACCGCACAAAGTGCCTGCAAAACCAGAAGCACATTTACATGCATCGGTATCATAACCCCCTGCTATAAAACTTGGAGTGGAACCAGAACCAGAACCGTCACCAGAACCAGAACCAGAACAGTCACCAGAACCAGAACCGTAACAGTCAACTACAGAGAGGAGAGAAAATGTCCTAATATTAATAACGAATTTTACATTCATCATTCTCAACCGAATCTTTCGTTTATAAAATACTTGACGTACAAGATAATTCCTGATGTTGCAATAGATTTTCATACCTATACTACACAGCTCTCCAATAAATCCCGCAGCACACGTG